TTGTCATGTTTTGAAGTTCTAGTGTTCTTGGGCCAAACAGCTAAACCGTGTGTGAGAAGTTAATATAGGAAAAAAATTAAAAAATAAATAAGGGGGAAAAAGGGTTCTCTGTTTCCGGCTGTAGGGAGTAATAGGGAGTAATTCCCCGTGCTTTGCAGATGTAGTTTTGCTGTGTCCCAGGTTCTTTTCTGGTGAAACGTGGTCATTTCTTGTTGAGGGGGGGACGTGTGTAACAGACTGTTCTGTGTGTGTATGGATAAGAAGGTGTGTCCCCTGCAGTTGCCGGAGAGCAACAGTTCGGCGGGTTTTACGGCCGGGGGGGCAGGTGACAGGCTGTCCCGGCCCCTGTCCCGTTTGTTGTTTTCTTATATAGATATATAAAGAGAGTAGCACCGTATAGAAGAACCCAGAAGGCTCGGCTACTCTTGTAACTTCATATTTTTCACAGTGTCGCATCACGTGCTCTGTTGTTTAAATTTTTCAGCAGAATGGACATTACCATTGCCATGTTTGTCAAATTATTGCCATTTCCCCCCGTGTGCCCAAATTTAGACAATAAATAATAGTTCCTTTCCTCCTTATCCTCCCAGTACTTCTCATTTTTCCAGTCTCCTTTCAAATTTTATAAAAACCAACATCCTGTCTTGTTTTTCCTATTGCTTAATTAATTAATTAATTTATGTTTTATTCAAATTGATAACTAAATCTACTGATACAATTTTAACAGCTAATTTTGCTGTCCTATCAAATAATTAATTTCCTATAACACCACAATGTGCTGGTATCCATAAAAATGGGACAATTAAACCGATCATATTTATTAAACCCCTAATGCTGTCCCCCACAATCCCAACATTTATCTTGAACACCTTCATCGCATTCCATAAAACCATAAAACTCTGACAACATTATCGTTGTGAGCAATGTTTGAGTATTTTAAAGAGAGAAGGAACATTTTAAACTACGTTTGGGGCTTTCACTGGCATCCTCCTAAATGTAAATATGAATCCTCAGTCTTTCTACATGTGAAAGACTTGTAGTGCTTACATATAAAAGAGCCGATAAAATCAAATGAACGGTACCCTTATCAGCAGAGACCATGCCGCTCAGAATGACTCTCAGAGACCAAACCCCCCCACCATCCTATCATTTACGCCCTTCCTGCGTGCCACAGCCTTCTGATAACCTTGTTTGTCAGTCCACTTACATTTGTGAGGGCGAGATATCGGACGCTGGGCCATAACGCGGACCACACCACGCTACCGAGGAAGATCTCGGCATTTAAGGTGACCTGTTTGACCTGCTACTTCTTTTTTGTTTCACAGAAATTAAGATAAAATGTGGCTTGGGTAAAACTGTATAAATAATATCAGCTTCTACAACTTTGAAATATGGACTTAGTTATTTGTATGAATTATTGTCATCATACATAATTTGTGAGCTCTCTTGATATTTTTAGAAGAAAAAGTTACTCTGGGAATTCATTTCTAATTTGGAAACATTGCCAAATATGAGTGCATATTAAAAAGCTGCTTCACAAATAGTATTTAACTGAACTCATCATCTGTAGCTTATTCATTTATGTCACTATTTCTGATTAATTATTTAGAAGAAAAATAGTAAATTGCTATATTGCCATCATGGACATGTTACTGACACCACTGGAGCAAATCATTTTTTATGGTTTGTCCAAGTAGAGTTTCTACAAGATACCCGGGGAAGTATGTGAACATCAAAAAGAATAATATGATGTGGTGTGATCATTAAAAAATTAGTTTTAAACCAAAATGTACAGATCAGAATAAAATGAAGTAGTTAAGTAGGTGTGGCTCACCATTTTTCTGTGTTGTCAAAAAGATAGCTGATTGTTGGATTGTTCGGATCAGTGCTATTAGCTTATCAAGTTTAATAAGCCTTTTATTCACAGAATTCAGGACTGAAAAAAGCCCCATTGAGCTCTCTTAATACAGAAACAAGAAAGATCAATTTGAAAAAGAAGCTGTTTTAATAAACCTTAAACTATAACAATTATACTCAAGTGTTAAAATACGATTAATGATATAGAGCCTCCACATGTATGATATTTTATTATGAATACACAGTTTTACTGAAAAAGTAAAAAACGGCATAACCATTATTTACTAGAAAAAAAGATATATCAGATTATTTTTGCTTGCATTAGTGCACATGAAAAAAATTTAGTGGCCAAATTCTTAATTCATTTCTGACTTCTCGGTGAGTTGGCTGAAATTTTGGGATGAGAGGAGAAATTGGGTTTGACATTTCTAATTAGCTCCAAATGATAAACCACTGAGAGCTGAGAGTGTATTTTAGGGTGTGAATGATGCTGGATGCTCTCTGAGACACAGGGAAGTACAGAAGGTGTCCTCAGTGTGTCAGCGGAGCCAGGAGAGCAAACAGATGTGCAGGACAGAGCCAGAAGGAAGACCTGCTGGTCTTCAGGCAGGGAGGAACACTTCGAAATCAGAGTTTGAGAACGTTTCTGGATCCCCTATTCTCTCCCAAATTCAGCACAATATAAGATTCATTGTAAAGTACCGGCAGCTTCTTGGCTGGGGTTTGTTTCATGCATTTTTGTATTCTTTTGTTTGTACTCTCTATAGCCTTTGAGAGAATAGTCTTAAAATGTGTGTTGTGAATGCTGACATTGCAGTGGCAGGATACTGTGGCCCCATGGCATAAAAGACCAACATCACAGTCATCAACATTGGAGGTCACCGGGCTTTATATTAAAATGCTCCAAAGCCTGTATTGTATATCTGGCTGGCTTCTGAATTTCTTCTACAGTTGGGTGTAGCAGTGTGTGTTCACTAAAATATTGTTTTTTGTCATTTTTTTTAATAGAACAAACAGTCAAATGGCAAGATGATGGAAGATAAAGAGGAAGAACATTACAAACAAAATAAAAGTGGTACAATGACTCAAAGGAAAATCATGGAAAAACAAAGAAACGTGCTGAGTCAAATAATTGAAGATGTAGAACAAGTTTGGGAGGATGCTAAAAGGGAAAGAAGTCTAACAGACTCTCTGAAAAAGAAGACGGAGCAGATGCAGGAGGACGCTGACAGACTGGCCTCTGAAAAATATGATACTGTAAAGATTAAACTCCAGAGTATCCAGGAAAACATGGGAAAACTTTTTGATGAGCTGGAAGACGAGTCAAGACAAGTCGTGTCTGAAAAATCTAAGGTAGAAATGATGAAACTACAAGTGGAGACTGAGAGAGAAAGCTTAGAGAGAGAGAAGGAGTCAGTTAAGGTACAAATGGATGCAATAAAAAGTGCTGATGGGAAAATGAAGGAAGGCTATCTGGACAGCAGGTTGCAAAGTATAAGGACAGAGATAAGAGAAATGGAAGCGATACGTACTGAAGTTGAGATACAGAAGGATTATCTTATCAAACTTATGAGAAAAAAGGAGGGAAGTAGCTGGATAAAGGGAAAAACTCAAACACATATGCAAGGCATGGCAGAAACACAAAAAAAAATGCAAATGAAGCGAGTAGAGAAAGTTGTAGAGGAGGAGGAGGATATAT